ATATATGTATGTATATATAAATTTTTACTATGCATATTGTATGTATAGATGCATATGTTTGTATGTTTTTGTACTCTTTTTTGTTTTCATATCTTTATGGCTAAATGTGTATGACTATCTATTCGTTCTAACCGTTTTCGTGTATACTTCAACAGTTTTTGTATATTGTGTTTATTATTTTTGTTATATACACACCTGTGCAATACCATAGAACACACAATGTTCTCGCATGCTCGATATAAACACCGTGTATTTTATAGCGTAGTATGTTAATTACCGTTTCTTTGTATATCCATGTTCTGATCTTGGTTTGTGTAATTTTCTCATGTTTTTTTGATACGCTTACGTATACGTCTATGCAATTGGAGAATGCAAATCTCTCATTGGGACCATCTGTCATTCAGCTCACTGTAGTAACTGTGTTAATATGCCCACACACTGAATATCTGTGAAATATACCTCATATTATTTCTCGCGCTTACTTTTTCTAGCGGGTTTGGACAAACCGCTGATCAGAAAGCACTCAGCACAACAAAGCCCGGAGGAACACAGGACTCTTCTGAAGCAGTCGGAGCACCTTTAAAACACTTCACAGCGGAGGAATTACTTCAGTACGATGGCACAGATGCAAACGGAGCTGTGTACGTGGCGATTAAGGGCGTTGTGTTTGATGTGACGGACAACAGGAAAGCTTACGAACCCGGACAGGGATATGCCATATTCGCGGGCAGAGATGCATCAAGGGTACGTTTACAACCCTTTGTGCATGTTGTGTAGATTGTCCTGGGTTCTTGTGCATCGTATAAATCCTCTAGTGTAGCAAATGGTGATTCAATATCCAATTCTCTGGGATGTTGTTGTACCTATTTCGCTTTACTTATAACGAAACACTCTATGCCGTCCTGTGATAGGCATGACGAAACACTCTATGCCGTCCTGTGATAGGCACCTCAATGTTCGGTGTTGTGTGTGACCAGCCTAGATTAAGAATCTTGATGTAAGGATAAACGCTGATACTTGCAACACGTTACCTTTGTGTGCTAACATGATTTTAATATTGAAAAACAGGCGTTAGGTTTGATGTCTTTGAAGAAAAAAGATGCCGTGCCCAACTTGGATGGATTGGAAGAGAAGCAGATAGATGTAAGTGACACAGTCTCACTTATGTTACCCATGACTATCAAGCTGTTTGTTTGTGGGATGTATGTTATAGACTGTCAATGTTTACTACTTGACTACCATATGATGATTGAACTTTTCTGCCTTCCGCACAGCATTAGGCACATATATCAATGAAGATTTGGCTGTTAAATGCCACATGGATGGCTCTTATTGTGTACGACCACTAGTCAATCTGCTCTTTTTGGCGATAGCGTTATATAACACGGCGACCCCCAGGTGGAATGAATAGTTTTTAGTTTGGTTAGGCGCAAACGGTTATGATGTACGAAACAGCATGCGCTGCATTCACTATATTCGCTCTTTTGCACAACCGTTCTATGAAGACACATTTCACACAACAGTTGATAACATCAATGAGCGGGCTATCTCAAGTTAATAGTGATAACATGCAATGTTTTTTATCAGCGCGCGCTTTCTCTCTCTCTGTAATATATATATATATATATATACATGTATATATATATATATATATATACATGTATATATATATATATATATCCAGCCCCACTTCGTTTGATAATTTCCGAAATCGGCACTTCTATTTACTGAGCACGCATCTGATTATTCCACAGGTATTAGATAACTGGGTGAAATTCTACCAAAAAAAATATATGATCATGGGTACCGTCGGGCCTAATGCCAGTCCAGGTCGATTGCCCGCAATCGCCACCGCTGAGACCAAGCCTTCAGAGTGACAGGAGGATTCGAAATCGAAGTAACCATCCAAAACATACCGAAAGTACACAACGACAGAACGAACCTGTTCAGGACAGTATATATAGTATATAGCAGGTATTAAATATGAATCTCCTTATTAGCCTATTTGTTAAGTTGTAGTAGGTTATGGTGGCTTTGTGCTTGCCTCGTCGATAAGTACGCGCCGCGAACGCGAGCGGCACCGGTTTATCCAAGATAGTCAGTTTACTCCCTGGTGGATTGAACATACCATTTCTGTTGAATGAAACTGGATTGACTATAACACGCCTGTGGATCGGACTAACTCGAGAGAAACTGGGGCCTCGAATCACTATATCAACAGTCCTGTCAGCTTCTTGTTGAGATGATTAAGGAGTGTCCCGACTGTATCGCCCACCTTTCCCTGTCATCACTTTCTGAGAGAGATGGGTCGATTTTTACGTATTCGATTTTAAGCGGAGTCACCGCTTGGACTGAGGAGTCCAGGACGACCCGCTATTCATCAGTGCAACCAGTAGGATGGTTCACGTGCTAAGAGCAAGTTGAGATGTGCCATGATGTATCTATTGTGCGATAAGAGGATGACTAGAACCTCTCAGCTATATTTACACCATTTGTAACCTACAAGTACAACAAAACACGGTGAATAAATTAAAAATTAAAACAGGTTGTATAAGTGGAGATTGTGAAAATATGCTGAATCTTCCCTAGCATGGAGCATACATATTGTTATACAATATATAATATGCAATCCGCATATTCTCTTGTGCTATATGGCGTGCAAAAAAGGGTGTTAGGTTTACATATATAGGTAGGTCACGTGAAAAGTATCATAACGCCGCTATTATTGGTGTTAAGAGTTTGAGCGCCGAATAGTTGACACATTTGTTTACGGCGAAAGTAAATATAAGGGCAACGTAAACGTAAAAAGGGTTGATCGTCAAAAATAAATAAACGTTATATCGCATATGTGGGGCAAAACAGGCCTAGGCTGAATTAAATTATCGTTAATCGGACTATAGAAGGAAATAACCCGTTTTATATTGCACCTAACAACCCAATACTTTACCCTCATTCATCAAACATAATATAGTTCACCAAATATACGCCTACCGTAAGCGTAAAAAGTATCCCTTATTAGGTGAAACGTAATGAGGTTAGGTTCATAGAGAATACGGCCCAACACGACTATATAAAGTGTTGATGCGGCTGATATTTCCGACATATATTATCACTCTAATTACTACTTCAAAAGCTACACTGGTGGACCTTGTATTCAGAACCCAAAGCATGTTCAAACTATCCAGCTTTATCGCGCGAGCCGGTTCGCGAAGCTATTGCACGGCACCTCCCAGTATGTACATATGACACTTTGTACATACACTTATCGAGGCGCATCCGATTCTCTAGCTGAAATAAGTACAAAAATGTTAGCTGAAATTAGAACAAAAATGTGTGTTTTTTGTGCAATGAATAATATATGGCTTAAATATATTCTCAGTGCAATAGATAGCTGGCCACATGAGTGGATAAAATCACAGACAAAGACAGTCTCATATTTGTTGTCACTATACAGACGCCGCCTTTTGCCTTATCCAACACTTCTGTATCCATATATATACATATAC